AGTCTTCCTGAGCAAACAGTGTCTTCTTGTTATGAACAAATGGAACATGTTCTGAATCAGAATCAGAATCAGTAGGTTAACACATTCAATGATTTTGACTCTGGTTCTCACAGGGTGCAAATTAAAGTTCAGGAAGGAAACCAACACAGAGGCACAAACGTAGATCAAGATGAGCATCATAGATACAGCTGTTGTTTACAACACATAGGTATATACCTGTATATTTAAATTAAATAATAAAACAAACAAACAGCTGGACTATACTCTACACTGCTGTGGTACTGTATCAATACTGTTAAGTGGTACATCTATTATTATTTACAAAAGAGTATTAATCCTATAAAACACCCACTCCCTTCATACTGTATATTGTATTTGATGTGCTTTTGGGCATTTTACAGAAACTGGGATTATCACATGGCTGATTTCACAGTTCATAAGTGCTTGTTCTGGCGTTCAGTGCTTTGTGGTGAACTAGCAGAAAAGCTCATATAATGTACCGTGGACCATGGAGGAAGCGGTTTGAAATACATTTCCTTGTCTGTTCACTCACTTGTTAGACCCACAAGCCATGGATCTGAGCAGCTGAGCACCAAATGTCAACTGAAACTTGTTTTCATCTTGTTTTGTTCCCAATTTTCTTGCACATTATCAGAAAGAGAATCAGTACGTTACACCCGAATAAAGCCTAATTCTTTTATTCAGTGTGACGCAGTCAAAATATCACAGAAGCCTTTCTGAATGTGATAGATTGAATGGAACTTTACAGATAATCACCATCATAAACTAACCTTCATTTTTTTTCATCAGTCATTTGCTACATATAAATAGCAAATTGACATTATGTAAGTTTTATCTTTCAGGTCTAATAAAACACAGGTTTTGGAGTTTGTAAAGCTCCAACCCTGTTTACTTTTAGCTAATATTGATAAATAGTCACAATTCTATACTTCACTCTTTATGCAAATAGATGAAGATGTGTTAAAGTAAATTTTGTACATCTGGAGTTCATTAATAGTGATATAATAGAATAAATAATATTTGTGAAATGTGTGATACGTTATTGCCTTTCTGTATCAGGAGTGTGTTTGGCTTCCTTTGACACTACTGCAGGGGGTGGCCGTACTACCTTACCCACCACATCCTGAAAGCTCACTTGAGTGTGTGTGTGTTTGTTTTGTGGTCACCTATACCAGCAGAGCATTAGGAGAACTGTGTCCTCTCTTCTAAGAAAATTAAGCACAATTTCACTGCATCTTTTGTCAGTCATGCAACACCGGACATGTAGGACGGAACTGTTTAATGCAGCTGTAGGTGTGAATAGGTAGGTTAGGTAGGTGCTTTATTTATCCCTCAATGGAGAAATTTCACAGTACATAAGAACACTTAGATATATAAAAAATACTTAATGTTGCACTCAATAGTTTTATATTAACAATGGAAACTGTTTTCCTGTTCACTGTCACTGTTCTCTGTTTTCAGATGCACCAGGCAGCAGGTTTCTGCATAATAGCAGAGACACCACTCATACATCTGGGGAAGGAAATGCACAAAAGGACTGGTCAGAACAACAATATGGACGATACTGTACAAACTAGGTTTAACAGATTCACTGACATTGAGACAAACCCACATAGCTGAGAGGCCTGAACTCATCAAAGAATGTCACTAACCGACAGTTAAGGCATAAAAATGACTTGGAAATGGCTCGGTGGAGACAGACAGTCTGATGTCAGCAGGGAGGTGATTAAAAGGAAGGTGACACAATGGGAGAAGGCCATGCACCCTGTAGACTTTTTTTTAACCGCAGGAACAGACAGAAGCCGAGAGGAAGAGATGGAACCTGAGGCTTAAGGCAATCAGACTGCAAAGAGCATGCCCATTTAGGATTTTGTCCATCATTAAAAGAACCTTAAAGTCTGATCTGACATGGATACTGGGTCAGTGAAGGGAAGCTAAATTTGGTGTAATGTGATAAACTGATCTGGGCTTAGTTCGAATTCTAGCTGCATCATTCTGAACCATCTGAAGGATTTTAGCATTACCTGAAGACAAAACATTACACCAAGTGTGTGATGCTGTACACACAGAAGACACTGATCTATGAATACACATTTCTTATGTGATTGGAATTGGTATCAGTCGTTTATTGTGATTGATATCGGTTGCACTGATGGAACGTTTCTATCATTTCTGTTTTTCTGATTCGGATTCAGTTACTGATCATTTAGAAAATGTTATTAATATTTCCAAGTGAGAATGATTATAGTGCCACTTCAGAGAAAAGAAAGCACTCTGCAGGTGGTGTGGGGAATATTTGTACGCAGGTGGCAGGAAAAGGTATTTATTAAGGTGTGGTCCTGCTCCTGAAACTTCGATATTCATCTTCATTAAAGGATTTTATCAGAAGGATGGCACGACATTAAATTTGATCTGAGAAAACATTGTGGCTTATTATGAAGGCAATAAGGGGAAGTGCCATTTATGGAGTCGGGGTATTATTGGTGCATTTAGATACAAATGCATGCAGTAATATAAGTAATGACTTACAGTTGTGTAGTTACTGAAAGTGTCTATATGTGATTCCTTTGTCATACAGCGATTTCTGTGTGTGGTTGTAATGTCTGTGGGGGGGGAGGTTTTTTGTGGTTAACCAATCAGGAGGAAAAAGCAGTCTTGCACCATTTAGGCTCCATGCAACATCAGACTGAACCTACTGTCACTGGGACATGGAAAGATTTTCATTGTTCTCATCCTACCACTACACATGTACACAGGTATGCAACCACTGGTCTGGACAGTAATATTTTGAACTTTAGCTGCAAAGAGGTTGTCAATGGCTGGCAGTTTGAAAATCTCCTCTTATCACATTGACTAGGAGGCAGGCAGGGATAATTTAACCATTATATTGTGAAAACAGAGTTTAGAAAAGCTACAATAACAACAAAAGAGCTGCAGATAGCAGAGCATCATGGAGGAGGTCAGTGTACATCCTGTCCCATTTTCACTTGATTGTCAGACAATGCAACTTTAACTATACTGCACGTAACAGATCTTAGACTCATAATTAGTGAACATGGCACTCTGTAATTTATCGGTACAATAATAACACTAAAATGACACGATTGGAAAATATATGCAAAACCATAACACTGTCAAGACCAGAGCAAAGGTTTTAACATCCATAATTTCACAATGATAGGTTTATTGATAGATTTACTTTATATCACAGTTATATAACCACAGCTTTATTAAACTATCTACTGAATAAATGTGAGTGAGTGAAGAACTCAGTCATACAAGTAGCGTCAGTGGTGGGCCACTACGCCGAGGGAGGGGAAAACCCATTACACTGTGGTAAAAAAAAACGTTCATTAGTCTCAAACATCTCCACTCTCAACCCTTCATACCTCCCCCAGCTGCAGCGCACTGGGTCTGAGCTGTACCTTCTCTCTCAGCCCACACATAGTAAACAACAGTTTATTTGATCATTCAAATTACACATCACTGTGTTAGCACAGCCATGTGATGGAAAATGAAAGTCCCTAAAACTTCCACCTGGTCACCCTGAAGCCCACCACCCCACACCGTCACAGTGAGGGGAAGTGGAACATGGTGGCCGTGCATGACTCACCCCCTGAGCATAATGTGTTAAAACTTTTAGAAAAGCTTCTGTTGGAGCTGACATTTTTTGTGGTTTTTAGTGGGCACTTAAAGTCCATTAAAAGGTTATGAGAAAGAACTGAGTAAAAAAGCTAAAAGCTGGCAACCCTGATATGTATGTTTATTCTAAGTGTATTATTCACAATATACTTTAAATGGTCCATCTGCAGACATTCTTTAAAAACAGTCTTTGCATGTTCTAGGTATGGACAAAATGACAAAACCCCATGCTGTGAAACCCCTTAAACTTTACCCTCAAGGGGTCAGCATTATAAGGGTTACAGAGGAGCACCTTAGATAAAATCAGTATTTAAGAGCCAGGACTTTGGATCTCAGTTTTTCATACAGTTGCTGCACATATTCTGTCCATCCCGCATATCCATAGGTACGAGAACCTGTAGATAATATTTTACCATTTGGTTTTGTTGCTGGAAAACCCATCAACACAGCCACATTCTTCTCTCGTTAATGTGTATCTGTTGTAAGAACATAACTAATAATCCTAGCCATTCAAAGAAGCTTGCTGTGGACTGTGGTGTAAATAAATTCATTCCTGCACTTACATATGAGGTCCTGGTATTTTATTTGAGTGTTTCCATGCCATGCTGTCATTTTTTTGACAGGTGTAGTTTCTAGTAAATGAAAATGAGATCAGTGTGTGTGTTGTGTAATGATATATTATGCATTGTTTTATATTAAAATTCCTAACAGTAACTCTACCTGCTAATTACACATTATGGAATAGTGCAACACTCACAAGGGTCATTATGTGGCAATTTTTATGCATAGAATACTTTTGACACTTTAAGAATATTTTACTGATAATACTCACATACTTCTACATTTTTCTCACTTAAATAAAGCCACTGAATATTTCCTTCACTACAGGCTCCAGTCTTAGTTTCTTATGATCCTACCAGAATGTTTTGGACCAAGAATCTCTGGCATCTTTCACTCTATTAGGAGTGGCTCTAGACTCGGCTATGTTAGCATAGTGAATATCTTTGTTCGGTGGTGGTTTTATGAAAATGAAGCACATAAAGAGATGGGATATGAATTTGAGACGAGTGAGCTGCTACATGCTGAGATACAGATTGTTTCCTTTCCTCCGTACACACACCTACAGTAGACAGGAATCTATTTTGCAAAGTGCAATGTTTTATTAGCTGTTGCTCAGTGTTATTGTACAATGACAGCAACAAGTGATTTACATTATTTACACTCATACAAAAGATCAGATAAATAGCATATTGAAAATTAGATATAAAAATACAAATACAATATATAATATTATATTATTTAACTTCAGTAAAATGAGGTAAAGAGTGTTCAGGAAATAGGAAATCATTCAAAGTCTGTGGAACTCAGTTGAAGAAAAAAGAACAGTACTGAGAAGAGTAGAAGTTAAACTGAGAGTTATGGCATTTTTATTTTAGTTTCAATAGCGCTGGGCTTTTGTGTGAAGGTGAATATTGTCTCAGTGCTGGTGGTGTAAGCTATACGTTGGAGTCGCCAGTTCTTTTCATCTTTCATCTATGAAGGCCATGCTGGTCTTTGTCCACAGACTGTTGGGGTCAGAGCAGATCCTTCTTCCTCTCCAAGTGATAAAACTATTGAAAATCACAATGACAGAATAACACAAAGCTGGTTACATGTTGCAGCATTTCTGAAGAGAAGATCATTGTTTAAAGCTTTGCAAATCAGATTATGTAAAATTTTTACATTTAACTTTTGTTGGTATCAAAACCATGTGAAGACAAACTATGTGCACAAAAGTGATACTGAATAGTCTTGCGGACTTACACCACTGCACGTAGAGGGCATGGTGGTTTCTGTTGTATGTAGTATCTCTTAAGCAGCTCTTGACTGATTTCAGTTCCTGAAATTTTGCGACAACACATTCCTATTCCACCTTTGGATAAAGACACGACACTCCATTAATATCATCATCATCATTGGTATATTCTAACATAAACAAAACACACTGTATCATATATGAAATTACATATATAAATAGAGAAAATACATGCACAACAAAATGTTCCTACTGCCCTTACCTTGAGCTGAGCCTGTTGTTACCATGATAGCTGCAAGTAAAAGCAAAACAAAGCCAAGACTTCTCATTGCGTGTCTTTGGGTAAAACAGATATGATGTGTAGTCTGTACTGCAAGTCCTTTTTAAACCCACCAACACATTCAGTACAAGCATGTTGCAGATCAAGCATGCTGCACCCACAGATGTGCAAACAGTTGGAAAGTAAAGCATGTATTTCCTCCCACAGCAGCTTCCCATTGTGGTCCTCGCCCCTCCACTCATCTCTGGTGGTCTGGGGGTGTCACTACATGTTCCACTGCAGTAGGATGTTGTCTCTGCATGCATTTTTTAAATAATAAAATTTACAAAACAAATTATTATATAGAAAATATATGTATTACCTGTAATTGTACCACTTGAACTTGATCTTTATGATCAAACTGATAATCACTGCTTCTCTGCTTCCTAGTTTTAAAGAGATCTGTGCACATTTATTTTTTGCTTTTCTCCACAGACTGGTTAATTTTCTTTTTCTTATTGTGATACTGATGACAAAGAACAAAGGAATGAAAATGGTTTTTGATAGACTGATGATTTGTACACGTCAGCAGTAACTGGTGAACCTGAAGAATCTTAAGACCAGACACACACAACTGAAAAAACCTTTTATGCAACTGCAAAGGTTACGGTGAATTCTTTTCATATAGTATTGGTGACGCTTTCTAACAAGGAAGCTCTTAGGTTTTTGAGGTGAGCTTTTCTTTGTGCTACTGACGTTTGTATAGTCTTCTGAAACCACAGTGCATATATAGAGAAAAGAAATCCCTCCTGGTTAGTGCCATAGCATTTACAGGCACATCTGAACCTAGCTATATACAGACAGACACAACTACACCACATACACAGATACACAGAACAAATTGTGTGATTCCACTGAAACCCGCACGGCTTGTGGTCACCTCTGTTCTTGTGTTCTTGGCAGAAATGGCAGCAGAGGGGCATTTCACTGTGACATAATGCATTCCCCAGCCCCTAACATCTAACCTTAAACCCGGACTAAATGCATAACACTAACCTTAATCCTAATCTAAACCTAATTCTAACATGAACCCTAAAACCAAGTCTTAACTCTCAAAATGGAGTTTCACAAAGTGAGAACCACCCAAAATGTCCTCACTTTCCAAAAATGTCCTCACTCTGTAGCAAAAATAAAAAAATAAAAAAAATACAAGAACACACGCACACTTTAGGCAAACTAGGATTATTTATGCCAAAAATGTGTTATTAGACATGGATATAATACCAAAATAACTTTGGATTTATCATTACCAGAAAAAACAACTATTGCCACAAGGTTACACCAGTAGGTGAATACTGATGACATGGTTGCATTTTGCTAAATGTCCAACAGAGTGCGTGGGTGCACACCAGAACGTGTGCCAAAAGAAAGGAAAGACAGAGCAGATTCAAGATGGATACAAGTTAGATAAAACCAGTGAGTAAACTTTGACATCAAATTTAGTTGTCCTCGTTTTGTTGTGTTATGTGATATTGTGATTCATTAGAAGTCTTTAGGAAAATTGTAATTTATCATGTTTTCAATGAAAAATTTAATAATGGCAACAAAAGGGTGGTCAAGTTATTTTCTTCTGGTTTGCTATTTAAATTTTAAATTCACAAGACTCTGACCAAAGACACATTCATTTATTTATTCAGCAGCCTTTCATTTTTCTATTTAAAGTTATGCTGTGAAAAGTGATTTCAATTAAGGTACCATCTTGAGACCTCAAATGTCATTGATTCCTGTGCCTAAAACAACATACTGTACAGTGGGTACGGAAAATATTCAGACCCCCTTAAATTTTTCACTCTTTGTTATATTGCAGCCATATGCTAAAATCATTTAAGTTCATTTTTTTCCTCATTAATGTACACACAGCACCCCATATTGACAGAAAAACACAGAATGACATTTCTGCAGATTTATTAAAAAAGAAAAACTGAAATATCACATGGTCATAAGTATTCAGACCCTTTGCTCAGTATTTAGTAGAAGCACCCTTTTGAGCTAATACAGCCATGAGTCTTTTTGGGAATGATGCAACAAGTTTTCACACCTGCATTTGGGGATCCTCTGCCATTCCTCCTTGCAGATCCTCTCCAGTTCTGTAAGGTTGGATGGTAAACTTTGGTGGACAGCCATTTTCAGGTCTCTCCAGAGATGCTCAATTGGGTTTAAGTCAGGGCTCTGGCGGGACCATTCACAGGTTTTAACTTGAAGATACTGGTGAGGACATGTTGAGTTCACCAGAGTCACTTTTATCACTGACTTTATCAACCCAGTGCCTCTATGTTACTTTCTGCCAGCTTGGTTGAGCTTGTGAAATGTCTTGTGAAAGGGGCTTTACTCAGGATTTCTGTTCTTACACAGGACCTTTCCTTTTTCAGTGTGGTAACTGCTTGACGGACCGGCCTGACAACAACACAGGGACACCCTCCTGTCACAGACATAAGTATGGGAGCGAAGGTCAGACATCCTCCCATTTCTTCCTCCAGCACTTCATGAATGAAATCCCTCCCTGCTGAGCGGTGAGTCCCGGATATCGTTTAGATTAAGTCTGCAGTCCTCCATGTATTCTCACTTGTGTTTGTTTTATAATTGATTTATTCATCCACTTTTCTTTCAATAATAAACTATTTAATGTGCAATTCCTGTGAGTTCCTGTGATGAAAGATTCATACTGTCGATTTTTAGTTTTCACCTACACTTTAAAAGTCTTCATCTGAAAGCACTGGTTTGGTTGGCGCAGTAAAAACAACATTTTCCTGTCTGGTTTTCTAATATAAAATATGAAGAATATTTAATTTGACTGATGAGGGTCATTATTATAAAGATAGTGTTTTTGTTTGTTTGGTAAGTACATGTTAAGTACATCTTGTCAGTCAGAATGAAATATCCTGATGTAGAGTACTTTGAAAAGTGCACTCATATGTCATCATAAACCACATTATTATGATTTACCATTTAGATTCATTCTGAAGATGTTAGATATTACCAGGCATCTGAGGAAAAGTACAACCGGGTCATGTACAAACAAATGTTTTCTTTTTCACAGATTTGACACCACATAAAAAAGAAGACAGTTAAAAAAAGGGGAAGTGGCAAATTTACTGAATCTCAAAACTCAAAACTGCTTTGTGTGGTCACACAGCTTTCTCCTTCCCATTTTTATTCAACCACCAAACCTACAACTGCTTTTAAGAGAAGCACATTAAATCACATTTTTGACCATCTTTCCCACATTTTCACACCGACTCATCTATCTGGGTGAAACAGACCAAAATGCCACTGAAGCAAAATGACATGTTAAACATGACGACCAACGTTTACCATCCAACCTGACAGCACTGGAGAGGATCTGCAAGGAGGAATGGCAGAGGATCCCCAAATGCAGGTGTGAAAAACTTGTTGCATCATTCCCAAAAAGACTCATGGCTGTATTAGCTCAACAGGGTGCTTCTACTAAATACTGAGCAAAGGGTCTGAATACTTATGACCATGTGATATTTCAGTTTTTCTTTTTTAATAAATCTGCAAAAATGTCAAACATTCTGTGTTTTTCTGTCAATATGGGGTGCTGTGTGTACATTAATGAGGAAAAAAATGAACTTAAATGATTTTAGCATATGGCTGCAATATAACAAAGAGTGAAAAATTTAAGGGGGTCTGAATACTTTTCGTACCCACTGTATGTTTAAGGTCACCGGTCAAGTAGGTCTACTTTGCATCTCTTGGCTGGGAAGATTATGACACTTGATTGTTAGGAACAAAGGCAGAAGTAGCATGATATTATTGTAATAAGACAAAAACATGTCAGCGAATGCTGTTTTAATCATGAGTGGTCATTTCCACACCTTAACCAAGTTATTTGTGCACTTAGGTCAAACCAAACCTTACTCATAGCAGTGGCAGATCAGAAAACAGGTATATAATTTTTATTTGTAATGGTCATTTGTGTGTAACTGTTTCTGAAGTCACTTAAACAGTGACTTACAGTATGTCAGCCTGCTGATAGGATCATTAGACAGGAAAAGACTGGGTAATTACTAAACTCCACCTATTCAGTTTTATTTGTATAGCTCCAAATCACAGCCAAAATCATCTCAAGGCACTTTACATAGTAAGGGCTAGACCTTATTATTTTAATTATAGAGGAAAACCCAAGAAACCCCCCTTGTGCAAGCTCTTGGTGACAGCGAGGAGGAAAAACTCCTTTTAATAGAATAAACCTCCAAAAGACCCCGAATCTTGGTGGGTGGCCTTCTGTCTCGACCGGTTGGGGTGAGTGGACAGAGGAGAGAGAAAAGCAAAGCATCGAGTCAGAACGAGCAAACAAACACTGGGCAGGTTGATGTGGTTGGTAACTGCTCATCAGAAAAATACAGCTCCAGAGTCGGGGCCACCTGCAGGAAGGTACAAGGAGAGTGAGAGGACAAACTATAAGAGAGGGGAGACATAAAATGAATGGCATACAATGGTTACATATAAATGCATCTGTGTTTCTATGTTATTTAAATTTTCAGTATCCCACTTTGAGAGTGAGCGGTGTTGAGTGTGAAGGGAGCATTACTCAGCTAAATGAAGGTAGCTGTATTAAAGCTAAGCTAGCTGCCTACAACTATTCCACCTATCTGATCACCAGTCAGAGCAGGGAGATCTGAGCAGTGTATAAATATGGATTTAGAGAAATCTAAAGAACTTTGGGTGAATACATTTTGACAGACTTGTTAAAAATACACTCAGTATTTATAAAAACTGGTCAAAAAGTGCAATAGCTTTTTAACAAGTAGTACATCAACACATCACAAAGAGAGCGGTTGACTGTGCGAATAAATGTTTATCCTTTAATCAAATCATATGGGAATAACTAATAAAACTATTTTCTATCATAATGCACAGTATTTAATGGATTATCACTCATAAGAGCCAAACCTGTAGCAAAATTAGATTATACTTACAAAGTGAGACAGGTGAACACCAAACCAAAGTAAGGTCAGGTGTTCGACTCTCGTGCGGCTGCTGTATTTCTGTTGAATTTATTTTGCAGTCAGTATTCACTGATGAAGCAGGTGTTCCTTCACTTGACAACATAAATGGAATTTTAGATGGGTCCATTATGTTTAATCGACTCT